CTAAATAGACTGTATTTGGCAGCGGTTGAAAGCTTCCTCTGAAAACAAAGCCATTTATAATCTTATTGAGGGCCTTTTTCTGATTCATTCAACGTGAAGTGAGTTGGTGTCAATGATCCCTTGACATGCTTATAATCTCAGGACCATAACCAGGTCAGGAGCTTTGGAGTACCGTTGAAAAGATTACAGCGCTTCGTTCTTGCTGGTATTTCAACTTATTAAAAAATGGGTAAACATAGAGCATTCAGTTGATTTTTAAATGCGTGCACCAGAAATCTTGAGTTAGAAGGCCCGACTACATTTGGCATCGCGTACTGAAAATAAGGCTTGGCGAAAATTAAAAGTTTTATAGAGCTCGAGTAACATGCATTTTGTGTCAGAACACGGTGGAATCAGGTGCTAGTCAGTGTTCGGGTATCTAGAGTTATTGGTATAATTTAAAAGCCTGGTTATTTGCTTCGTTTTTGAGGAGAAAATTGCACATCTATCTTGAATAAAAGTAAATATACACTATTGAAGAAGGTGGTGCTGTATGTGTGTCACAGGTAAAATTAGCGAGAAAATGATTGCAAAAGATTGTATGCCTTTTTAAGGTTGCTGCTTCTTTTAAAACTGCACAATTACAATTTTGTTTTGCCTTTTATTATCGGTTTTCAATATAAAAATCCGCAAAGGCACTTGTTTTAAATTGATATGAAAGGTGTCCAACCCAAATCAGAAAATGTCGATGTCTATTACATCTTTTTTAAATTATCATGTTCTGGGTGCTTTTTTTTTCTTTTTACAACATAAATGATGACACTATAAGGGGTAGGGGTGATGAGAAGGGGTGGGGGGAGGGGGGAGGCAATTACAGTGAAGTATAGGCGATTTCCAGATTGAGAACCATAGATATGGGGTACATAGAAGCGGAACCAATAAATTGGCAAAAAGATATTATTAATCCGAATACAGGAAAAAGAGGCTAAAACAGCACCTGGACATGGATGGCTGGTGCCTCTATAAATAAATCATTGATGGTCAGGTCTGGTCAGGCAAGCGCCTGATTTCACCACGATGCAATACCGAAAGCACACAATACTGTTCTCTGTTGAGCAGAGGAATCTCGAAAGAATTTTTTTTTTCGTCTATAGTATATTGAAGTACCAATTTTATTATTTTCTAAAAAGTTTTCTTTATTAACCTCTACGAGCCGAAATGTCTTTAGTTAACAAGAAAACACACACACACACACACACACACACACACACACACACACACACACACACACACACACACACACACACACACAGACACTTATCTGAATTACACTTAACTGATATTCTGCCTACTTCATCATTCTTAAGGGCTCTTTATACATTCAGTGGGTTGGGGGTTTTCTTTGGGGGTTTTTTTCTGGGTTTTTTACCCAATGCTCGTCCGTCCTGTGGGGTAAACTTAAGTGTGCACTATCTGCAATTCAAATTGGCCCAAGGACTGACTGGTTTGGTTTTTAAAAAGCTCCACTTCTATACATATTATTATATTCCATTAGCCTCTGACTCATCAGTCCTATAGTGATCAAAATGACCCGAAGACTAACTGGCAACGGTCAAAACTAGCTGCACGTTTCGCGAGCCCCATGAATCATTTTTAGTGAAATAACGTGTTCCCAAATCGTTATACAGGAAAATGACAGACCGACTGGGCGGTGTACTGTATAGATAGATAGATAGATAGATAGATAGATAGATAGATAGATAGATAGATAGATAGAGGGTTAGTTTCAATGGTTCTAGATTCGTCAACATATTAAGCAGCATAAAGTTATGGGCATCACACGTGTAATTTGAGATGAAAAAGTTTTTCGACCGTATTTTACTGGTGTAACTGTAGAAAATTCAGTTGTGTCTGTGAGAATGTTGTGATTTTAATTACAAGTTACTTGCTAATTGTCAAAATATAGGTACTACAGCGAAATTGAGCTCGTCCTTTTTTCTCGTGGATCACTCAAGATTTAATTTGATAACATGTTTTCTAGCCTATGGCATATGGAATGGTGTAGATCTAACACCCCCATCAACGCTATAAGGTTATTTAACAGGTGGAACCTCCGAGTTTTACGCCCATCTCGAAAGGACTGAGCCAAATAGGAAATTTGTTGAAAGTGCCTTTCCCAAGGACACAACTTCGGACCGGGCTGAGGCTCGAACCCACTGTTTAGACTGGTTATTTTTTTCAGTTATAATGACACTCGTAGAAAAAATTAAAGGGAGGACGGGGAGGGGTAGGGGGGGGGGATTTCACTTCGCATTATTTTAACTACTCAACTTTAATTTCTACATTTAAATAATAATAATAATAATAATAATAATAATAATAATAATAATAAATAATAATAATAATAGTGATAATAATATAATAACATAATCTTAGAAAGTGAATACAACTTTTAAAATTATCCCTAGATTTTGTAACTGAAATCTAGCGAAACAGTTTGGTAGGTATCCCAGGCTTGGAATAATATAGGGAATCAAAATAACATCAAAATAAGTAAAGCATTGACAAAATAAAAAAACAAGGCTGTCTTTGACAAAGCTTTTTATAGCCAGTTTCATTCGACCTCTAAAGCGTTCATTGCTTCCAGTTTCCGGTGTGCCTTTGAGAAGTAAGCTTTGATCAGGAAATAATCGATACAGCGGTCGTGACAAACTTAACCCTTTAGAGTAAAATCGTTTAACTGCTGTAGTTCAACATCACCGAAGGAGGTCAATGTTGGCAAGACGCTGTGTGAAACATGAACTGTTCTCTTTCAACCTTGTAACTTTAAAAAAATGTTTTGGTAAGTGTTTTACGGCGCTTACAACAGCATAAGGTAATATGAGCGCATTTGAACCATTACATTTTCAGTTTGGTAGGAATTTTTACAATTTTCCGTGGGTGACAGCCGAAGCCCACTTTATCGATTTTGGGGCCACCAATGGACCTTTAAAGTGCACAACTTGCACATGGGACCCCCAAAGTTTTTTCGCCCTTATCCGAGAAGGCTAGATGTAAATCTTTCCTATCATAAGATCAGGAGTGTGACTGAAAGACAGCAGTAAGGAGTAACCACGGAGTAGCAGTAAAAAGGCTGCAGAAAGAGTCAGGAGCCCAGTTGAGGGGGCAAAGGGTGTGAGGGGGTGGGGCAGAAGGTGAAGACAAAGAACAGACGACTGATCATTGTTGGAGAGCAGAAAAAAGGTGAAAGGAGAATTATTTAGAGGAGAACATTTTCCGCCGCTGTCTGGATTTGAACTCGTGACTTATTGAATGAGAGGCAAACGCATGCTTTTTGTTTGTTTGTTGGGG